TGATGTGCTTTCTGTTATTTAGTACATATCTTTGTGATTCTGTAGCGCCAGTCCACATTGTTCAATGACGGATGATCTTTGGCAAGATCCTCGGGCTTTACTCGCTCAAAGCCCTTTTTTTCATCATTGATCTTAGGAAGCGGTTGTATACAGCTGACAGTTTAGATATTTCTGAACTGGTATGGCGCCGTACATGACATCCAATATGAAAGAACGAGAAACAGAAGATAAATAACAACAAAGCAAGACAAACAGAGAAATAAATGAATACATTTCCAATGTCAAAACCTTTCACTATATTCATTCATTATGAAACAAACAAAGAATATATTTATATATATATATATATATATATATATATAGAATATATAAGTTATATATATATATATATATATATATATATATATATATATATATGTATGTGTGTGTGTGTGTGTAAAAATACATAAAAAAAGGAAAGAACCGTTAGGTTAATAATCCGAAGTTCTTTAGAATTTTGTTTTATTTAAAAAAAAAAAAAAAAAACACTACTCAATACACAAGTAGAGCCTGTATTTAGCTTCTGTTTTTGAAACATGCGAAGTCTTATGTAGTGATGGAATCATATTTTTAAAAAAATACTTATAATATGTGTGTGTGTGTGTGTTTATGAATATATGTTTTCCGCCAGGTGTATAAATAACGGTGTCAGGCTACTGACTGGGGTGATTATTGGGTGACTATTATTGTGCGTCGATGATTTGGTTTTTGATTTAGGATTTACCGGACGTTAAGCCGAGTCGCGCTACTAACAAAATATTCACTGAAATGGTTAATTACCTTTGGCTGGCTTTTACTTCTTTGTTCTGGTTAAGTGTTTATTTGCGGTTGTAATTAAATACTGTTTTATCTCAACATTGAAGTCTTGAGTTATACTTAATTATTCACGGCCGTCGTACGTCACAAAAATATTTTAATCAGAAGAATGAAGAATTCGTCTTTATCAATGAAACAAAGACATAGTTGTTTGTGAAAAATTATGAATGATTCTATTTTTAATAATTTTCAGTCAATTTTTAGACACACACTGAAATAGCATTGAAAAAAAAACAAAAAAAAAACACGGCTAGTTAGTCTCTAAGAGATGTGACTTTTCTTGAAGTTATTTTCGATCCTATCAGTTTTAGAAATTCTCTGCGCCATTTCTCATGTCTTTGAGAACTGAAGCCTTAATTTAACCATTTTATTCTGCTGCTCCACACGCATATAGTTGCTGGAGATCTTGCGATGCAGTTTTTGGATCAGTTGGCTGTGGGAGAATAAAAATCAAAGTGTCAAATGTTGTTCTGCATTGCCATTCGTCAGAGAGCAACATTGCGTAGTTGTATCCGTTAAGTTTGCTGGATTATAGATACCCCCCTCTCTCTCTCTTCCTCCCTGCCTCGCCGTAAATGGGCGTTAACGTAATTATGACTAAGGGGATTTTTCAGTGCACCCACGTCGCTACTGAATGTGACAGAAAGTCGAGGTTAAAAGTTTGTTTAACGGCAATACCGTGGAAAAATTGCTCAAGCTCTCTTCAGTACTTCCCCTTTTGGTGACGCCTGATAATGACTCCAGGACCTTCCCAAAGGAGAGATACTGTCTAGAAAGGATGGCTCCCAGGGGCTTGAGCTGATATTACTTTTAAACTAACCAGTCGAAGCCAGATTGAAGATGGAAATGGCTCTCCTGTAAAAGAAAAGAGGAAGACACTGTCAGGTGTGTGCGACATGACCGATTTGCAGTTACTGACAGACGTTTAAGGAAAGGCGGGTACCGTGGAATCGGATTCTCCTTTAGCGATAGCCGGAGACAAATTGACTGGCAGTGACTTACGAGATGACGGTAAAATATGTCGAAGATGATAAAGGAGTCTTAGTAACGTAATAGATTAAGTTGGAAAGGCTAGTTCGAAGAAAATGAAACTGGGAGAAACGTGGTTCACAGAGGATCAAACTATTTAGCATCAACGGTAACCTAAACAAGGTACTAAAGGAAAACGAGAAGAAAGACTAACCGTCAATTGTTAAAAAAAAAATGGAGACAGAATTTTTGGTCATTAGCAAAAGGGATAGCCCAAAATGCAAGCTGCAAATTGGGGATGTCAAAATCAAGCAAGTAGAGAAATTTAGCTATATGAAGTATTTTAATAGACGACGAAAAATGTCATAGAAAGACGAAGGCGCTTTACAATAGCGAAATATGATTTCCAAAATTGCTTGGTTTAAATAATTTCTGTATTTGTTGTCGTATAACTGCCTTCCTTCTAAAAATGGTTATGAAGTCTCTTAAGTCTCGTCTTATACGCGTAGTTGAACTATCTGGTAGGCTCATGTTGATCCATCGATGTACAGGCAGTGTAACTGTTAGCGGTTCGATCGAGTTCGTTATAATCACTTTCTCTCCGTAGCTATGGGTCAAATAGCAGAGCAGGGTGAGAGTTTTCAGCCTTAATTGGCAACCAGTCTAGGAGAAGGACAATTCTGAAATCAAAGCTCAGCTACCTGAAACTGGAATGCAGATACTATACCTGTAAGACACAACAGATTTTAACAACTATGGATGATTCCATTGAAAAGCGATTATCCAAAATATCGTTGACACCAACGGGCAGTGAGACCGAGAAAGATGATAGTCATTACCAAATTCTTGCAGACTATTAGTACTTGTACATAAACCTCACTCCATGTTGATGTAATATTGTATATCTATTTGTTTCTTAGTTAATTAGCGCATATGTTACATCCTACCAACACTTCATAAATAATGGACTTTTCAGTTTTAATTGTGGGGAAAGAAGGAAAAAAAACTTATCAGAAACACTGTTTGGTTTCAGTGAGAAAAAGAAAGAAGAGAGAGAGAAAAAAAAACAGAGAGAGAGAGAAAAGATAGCAGAAGCGATAATGCTCCCATGTGTTTAACACTTGCTTCAGAGAAATAGAAAACTTATCAATTTCAATTTTTTTCACTTGTACCCTCTTACGTCTTAACAGAATGATCTGCATTCATATTTATGATTGTTATTGCAATATTTTCTTAAAGTTGTTAAGGTCAAATATTTAACGATTCAATAGGGTTCCAGGGGTATTTTACCGTCGTAAAACCTACCAGAAGCTAATGGTGATACTGTGAAATTTTCCTGGATTTTATTAGTTAAGTATAAATGCGATGGTTGGGTGTTACATGCAATAAAGTACTGTATATATTTTTTTAAAACTTTTGTTACAAGAGATGTTTTAGCCATTGCACGTGCAGGTAGCATAGCGGTTATCAACATGGAATCGGCAAGACGAGTTCAAATTCCTGACTAGTCTCTTATACTCACTTTTGCCCTTGGGAAAGGCATGAATCCATTACTTCTCCCGCTGCGGTCAAAGTCTAGAAAGATTACTTTCAATACAAAAAATCGGAGAAAGCAACGGGAAATCACTCCACTATCTTTCCCTAAAATCCAGGGTAATTCACACCTATTAAAAAAAGGAAATTGTGGAGAGCCATAAAAGGACACTGCGTTAAGAAAATAAAATGAGTTGGATTCAGACTGATTTTCTTGTTTTTGTTGCTTTTTTCTCGACGTTTCAATCGTGTATCCGCCAGCTTTTCTTCGGGCGTTGAACCTAGCTTTTAGAATACATCAGATATTCGTAAAGTCAGTTAAGTGCTATAAGTAATACATGCTTGAGTGATCATGTCTCTTTCGATTCATGATTGACAAGGCAAAAGTTGTTTTTTTTCCCGAAGTAGGTTGCCATTTCTTTCTGCGGTAGACTAGTTATCAACGAAGGCTAAAGAGCCCAATCTGTCCTGTTATTCAACCCATAGCTGGAGAGAGAAGAGATGGATTTATACCTTTCCCAAGAGTAATAGCGCTTAATGTAATGAACGCAACTGGCATTCGAATTATTGAAACATTGTAGGAATCAATCACAGTTTTTCGATAATCTGAACAAAAACAAAATGTTAGGTTTTTAACTTTTTAACAGAAAATAGGAGAAAAAAAAAGATGGTGGCTAGACTATGAATTTAAGTGCAGTACTAGAATGGAGGCAACGTCTCATCAATTTAGAGTTGACTTGGTGTAGATGTCACACATTATGAAATGGACAAAGTTCGACAATTATTTTTTAAGACATTTTTTATGTTTATACGATCTTTTTTATAGATACAAATATTTAAGTAAATGCTCTGTTTATAATAAACAGTATTAATAACATTTACCGGCGTGAATGTCGAAGCAATTTTCATAGAAAATATGCGTACTCCGACAGGAATCAAACAAAATAATTGTCGAACTTTGTCCATTTCCTAATGTGTGAAGTCATTTGTTTACATTTGGATACGTATTGAGTAGATATGAATGTACGTAAGAAAATTATGGAGAATTATGTTTAAATACAGTAAAATCGACCTTGCTAATCGAACTCTCCTCTATGACCTAATCGGTAAAGGCACGTTAGGCTATATGACGGTTCCGTATAGGATACAGGTTCGATTCCTGTCAGAGGACGCATATTTTCTATGAAAATTTCTCGGACATTCGGACTGGTAAATGTTATTAATACTGTTTATAATAAACAGAGCATTTACTTAAATATCTGTATCTATAAATAAGAACGTATAAACATAAAAAATGTCTTGGTTAGATGTAACCATTCTATGCTAACAGTTTCTTTTCTCACACTTCTCATTTGTGGAATTCTTTTCAGGTTCCATTCTTTCTAACCAACTTTGATCTTTAAAATGCAATGTCAATCGTTATCTATTGTCTTCTTGGTTACTCTTCATCTGTTGTTTTAGCTCCTTAATGTTTATCGTTATTTCTTATTCTTTCACCCTCAGTAACCTCTTGTGTCTTAGTGGCTTTATTACCTTGCATAGGATGAAATGATTAGAAAAGAAAAAGAAATCAACGTAAACTCTTTATATTTAAATGAAAATATATATATATATTTATTAGCTTTTTTTTTCATTTATCATACTTAATTTTTCGACATGCGTTCAATGAGCTCTGATAGAAGAGCCTGTTTGATTTCCTCTTGGTGTAAATATTCTTGCTGGTGTTGTTTAAATAAATCCAAAAGGTCTTCGTGATGTTGATTTAGTGTGTTCATTAGAGTCCGGTGTTCCCTTCGTCGTTCCTCGTTCATCTGTTTAAGCATTTCCAGCATATTGTTTGGCACAGAGAACGGTGTCCTTCGCAGAAGCCGACGTCGATATGCAAGCATATCACTGACAGAATTGTTGCTGGAGGAAGTAAAGGATAGGTTCTCTCGTGGCCGTTTTCTCGTCTGTGTACCTGGGTTCATGGGAGATGACGAATGTTGGTTAGACTGGGTTGAGGAATGTGACGGCAACGACTGCACCGGTGTAAAAGAGGTCTGCGGGCCGCTGCTGATTTGTTGGGTCTGCAACATCTCGGTGATTTGCGGTTGCAGACAGACGTTAGGAGCAGAAGAGTACTGCATTGGGACTGAAATGGGTTCTTGTTTGACAGATGATTGGACTATGGGAGCTGCTAGTGATGAAGAAGAGGGCAATGGTGACAATAAAATAGAAGATATTGAAGGAATGTTACAATCTAATGTGATGGAAGATGTAGGTGTCAGCTGGGGTAGAGAACGAGGTTGGAAAATAGGAGAGTCCCTATTTGACGATAATAAAGAAGCCACAGATGTCGATGCCATCGTGGGGGGAGGAGGAGGAGGTGGAGAAGTAGGTATCACAATTACGGGATCATCATCATCATCTATAATCTCTTGTTTAACTTCGGGTGTTTGAAAAAGGGCATCGACTGATATATCCGGGGTAACTTCCTGCAGGTACGTCTCTTGCTGGAAGTCTTCATTTAAATTTTCGGTGGGCCTACCGGATGAGCTGCTGGTCGTATCGATGCCATGGTAGTTAGAGAATTCATCTGAATTACTGACGGTTACACCTGTGGTGTTGGTTTTTGAACCCATCCCACTCCCCCCGCTAAGCTGGGACATGTTTATCCCTGATTGTTGATTAGAATGCTTCTCTTTAGGGTCGTAAGGGTAAACAGCAGCTAATTCTTTGAAAAATGGACACTCTCTGTGATTGTTGCTGAAGTAACTGTAATCAACCGTATCACGGTAGTTTTTGGTAATGTTCTTCCATTTCTGCTCGCACTGACCACTGGTCACATCGAAACCTTTGGCCTGAAACTCTTCAGCAATCATTGCCCACACGTCTTTCTTGCGAACTCCAAATTTGTTAAACATGGGCTCTTTCTCAGAGCGAAGACGAATCAAAGTAAGTACGTCATTCCGTTCCCAATGAAAACTCCCAAGCTGAACTCTACGTTCTTTGCATGTAATCATCTGGGGATTGTGGACATCATTCAAAGTTATATCTAAGAAAAAATATAGAAAATAAGCAAATTTATTTTACAAAAATTATATAATATACGTTGAGGCACAGAAAAGGTTTTCTTAGACTTGCCCCATTTCACAAAATATGATGAACAAAAAAAGAAGTTTTTAGGGGAAGGATTTCTAGTTTGAATTGAAACCTTTTCAGAATGCCATTGAATAGAAAATTATAATACACATGCAAGTGCATACAAATACACATTATTCATGCAGACTATACCTTTTGTATAATGCGATCCCTATTTTCAGATGTAAAAAGCATGAATATATCTGTGGACATAAAGCAATCTTCCCTGTGTTTAATACAACCCCTATTTTGGGATGTAGAAAACATGAATATATTTTTGGACTTAATGCAACTCATATTTTGGGATGGAAAAAACATGAATATAATTGTAGACCTAAAGCAATCTTCACTTTTATTATCTATAAAAGATATGACTCATCAGTTTATTGCCAAAATGATTTTATTAACCAAGGTAAATTCTGTATTTGCAAAACTTTGGATATTTAGAAGAGGGTAATATGATGAATTCTATCACAAAAAATATGTGACATCCATATATGAAGAAGAATGTTGTTCTAGCCAAACAACAGCAGCCATATGTGAAGATGCGTCCTTTATACGAGTTGTTTTGGAGTAGGACCACTGTACATAGCAGTTCACATTGCTGATACAAGTAAACGGCCCAAATATTACACTCATGTATAAAACCTCATTTTTGTTTTTGATGCCAAAATTCTGATGTCAAAATTAACACTTTGCACATAAATAAATATGACAATCTCCAAATGTCAAAAATGGTTTGTTTTTTTTAATATATAGCAGTCAGTTTTTGTTCCAAAATCTTAACCTGCTCAAGTAAACCATAATCTTCCTCACATATCCCCATAAACTATACATCCTAGTCTGTAATCCTCTGCCTCATGGGGCTCTTGGATCTTGCATAGAGTGAAGATTATTGTAAAAAAATAAGTAAATAAATAAAAGATAGGCAAAAATAATTATGGAATGGATGATTATCCATATACTCAAACATTCTTTTTCTCTATTTACCACTGATACAAACAGTGCCAACTGGAATTTGAAAAAAGTTTCTGATTCTATCTTCAGAGCTTAATAACCGTTTTGCTTATTTTTTATAATTGCTATAGTAATAATTATGCAAGGATATATTTATTATGTTGAGTCATAAGTAATTTCCATTTTGGGAAACCAAGTGAAATATTTTGAATAAAGTTGATAAGTGAAAATGGATATTAATTACGACTCAACATAATTCCTGAGACTATTCTGCTACTTGTAATATTGAACATTGTAATTATTATGTAGAATATAACAGATTAAGTGCAAAATTGAAACTACTATCTTTGGTCAATACTGAAAGATAAAATTCTATTAATGCTCACACTATATATACCAACTTCCAATACTACCAATACCAATGTTGAAGTAGATACTTACACACCAATATGCCAGATTCATTATGATATAGCATCTTATAAGACAAACATGCAACAACAAAAAAAGAAGCCAAAAACTGTAAAATTGTAGATATGTAATCAGAGGTTTATTAGCACTTTCTCAAAAAAAGAAGAAAAAACACAAATTATTATAATAAAGCTTATCCCTGAAACCCCCCCCCCAAAAAAAACCCAAGAGATACAACAAAATTGCATGAGCACACACACACACACATTGTTTAAAATTTGTTATATTTATAGGGGAAGAGTGCTTGATAATGGAAATCGAGCATTCACAAATATGGACAGTCAGAGCATAGGAATCAACACTGTATAGAGAGTGTCACTTTCATGCTTCAAGCATTTTTTAAATGAAGTGTCACTCCTTTAGTGGCTCTATATAGAGGACACTGAGGGATTAAAGGATGTTGTGGGGAGAAAACTGGTAATTTTCAGTTATTATGTTTAAGGTTTGTTATGCTTGAAGCTATTTACAGTCATGACATTTTGCTTGCCCATTATTTATTTGATTCATTTATATACTTTATTTATTTTCTTTATTTCAAATATCAAATTTTAGGACCAAAGCTAATTATCTTTATGGATATGGGGTTTTATTTTGTCTTTTTGGCTATGATGTGGTTGTAGGTAGTGTAGTAGGAATTTCTCTTCATGAGTGCATTTGGAAATGAGTTCCAATGTTTTTGTTTATGGGTTTATCTTTTTCTGGAAAGGTATCTTTCCCTATTTTCTCCTGGAGAAAACGGTTACATTGTTTTGGGGGTGTTGGTAGGAGTTATTTTTTCTCATTTTTCATGTTCTTTTTTTGTCTATTTTTGTTTGTGTTTTTCTTTAAATAAATTTTCACCTAATACAAGGCCCAAGAGCCACTCGAGGTAGAGGATTACTGAATGAGGTTGATGCATATGTGAGGAGATGAGAAGTGCAGTATGAGGATATGTAGGAAAGCTGACAGTTAACCTTAGACTGTTAATTCCAATTTTTTTTTTTGCTAAGCTATTGACTATTTTCAATGATTTTAGTTATACTACTATAATAAATGGCATGTAAATACTGTTGTAGACTATTATCTAAAAGTTACTAAAAAGTAAATATTCTTAATTCTTATATACAGTCAATACATTACAGTCATACTGATAACTGGTGTTTTTATAGGTTGGTTTTCTTCCATAGCAAAGAACGTTAGCTGGTCTTTAACCAAACATTATATATACACACACACACACCTGGTGTAACAGTAAAATTGTCCAAATCGTTTAACAGCATGTGATAATTGTCTATCAAACAAGATGTTTAATATCTAAAAAAAAAAAAAAAAAAACAACTCAATTTCTCTTTTCCAGGTTTTCAGATAAAACGTTTAGCCATCTTGATACCATTTGCCATAAGTATCAATGGAAAACCCCTTTGAGTTAATCAGCTACAAAGAGAACAGGTTAAAATCATTTTGTGCCAGCCTCACTATATCTTCCCAACTGAGCAATGGTGAGAGGAAAAAGATCATTCAGGCCTTCAGTAATGGTACTAACATTCATACTCTGGCTTTCATCTTCAAAGTCCATTCAAGAACCATCAGGAGAACAGTGAATAAGTTTAAAAAAAGAGGGAACAGTAGAGAGGAAAACTGGATCAGGAGGTCACAACAGCAAGAGGGATCATCATTTTAACTTAAAGCTAAATACATTCTTATTGTTCAAAGTAGAGCCCAATAGTGTTATAAAAACCTCAGAGAATTCCAGTAAGATATCTTTAATTATTTCTACGATACATTTCAAAGCTTAATCTAACAATTGGAGAATTTTACAGTTACGCCCGTTATATATACATACATACACATACATACATACATACATATATTTGCCTCGATGATTGTGTCTAAGCACCATTGTCGGTGTTAACCTCATTGTTCACTTATACATTTATATATGCTTTATCACTGATATTGAGAACTTTAACTCATAAATATAGCCTACCCTACAACAATATTTTTATATATATGTATGTATGAGTGTGTGTTAGTTTCCATCTTTAATACATATTTTGTTTAACAAGGCTGACAATGTTTTTTGCTAAGTTCATTTTAATTACATTTTTCTTGTATGCAAACAAGTGTTTTCTTTTCTGGACTTAATGAATGTAGAATTGTCCAAATATTTGATTCTAACCACTTTTAGCTAATTTATTAGTCATTTTAAACGATTTTAATTTGAGTACTATAATAAATGGCTATATTCTTAATATCCAAATACAAACAATTACATATTGGTCATGTTCATAATTAATTTTATTAAGGGTTTTTTTTTCTAATAAGGGCTCCCATCACTTTTTTGCAGTTGGAGGTATTAGCAAATTTGTATTCTTGATGAGTATCTTACAGATTAAAGTTGGTGTGATTTTGTGTTGGTTTAAATGTGTACATATGGAGCTCTGGTTGGAGAAAAGGGGATATATACACACTCACACAAATGCATATTTTTGCATCTTTATGTTTTCAAATTTCAGTAACTATTAAAATATTCATCATAAAAGTTCACAACTTGATTTGAAATTAGTTAATTTCTTTAATTTAAAAGCTTGGTTTAGGTTACTATTGAATGAAACCAGAAAAGATATTAATTGAACTGAATAGATTTCTATCTACTGAGAAAGTAAAAAAGAAGACTTACAATACAGAACAAATATTAACATGTGAAAAGCATAAAAGAAACAACATCAAAAGAATTTTGCATGTGAAATGCAAGCATTTTCTGAGAATTAAAGTTAGAACAGTGAATAAAGAAGAACTATTTTCTTTATTACAACAAAAATAATCTCCTCTGTGGTAGTTTGTTAGAATGCAGGCAAAATTTCTCTCTGTCCCTCAACATTCATGAGTTAAGAAAAAAAAGATGATAAATATAGGGAAGAAGAAGTTCAAGACTTTGGCAGCCTCTTTTTAATGAAGATCGTCCTCATCCTCACCACCCTGGCTATTCTAGAGATCCTATTCAGTATAGCGTGTACGTACAAAAAACTTGCATATTTCCACAGAGACTGAGAACCAGTACCAATTTGTTTACATCATCATACTCTGGGTACTCATGAACCATAATCTTGTCTAATACTGTTTCCGGCAACTGATAATCAAGTACCTCGTTTAATCCAGAAAATACAAACAAGAATTTGATTTTCAAATGATTCCCAAACTAATTCTCACTCAGGTGATGTGCATTTAATGTTTCTATTTTTTAGTGATTTTAGTGTAGAGATACAAGAAGTGAGAAGAGTATTATTGAATTGTTATTACATGATCTGTTTTTTTTTCTGGCATTATTCAAGAATCAAAGATACGAGAAAATCTGTGTTGCACATTGATTCATTGAGTTCAATTTTCTTGTTCTGATGACAATGCTTCAACCACTATATCCTCTGGCCTTCCTCAGGTGTCTGCCACATTGGGTAACCATCTTAAAATGTCAAACTTTTTATTCAATTCACAGGGCTATATTTTTCTAAT